GACTCAAGCACCACTCTACAGCCCGAGTCTGTTCAGGTACCTAATACACAAGTTTCAACTTTACGTAGGTATGATAGAGTATCTCATCCTCCTAAGAGATATGTGGGACTAAAGCAAGCTTCCCAAAGCTAGAACATAAGATTTGATGAGGCAATAAGATCTTATGACTTCGTTAAGAACGAAGATGAGCCTTGTGTATATAGAAAGGTAAGTGAGAGCGCTATCACCTTTTTGGTGTTATATATGGATGACATCCTGATCATTGGGAATGACGTAGGAATGCTATCCACAGTAAAGGCTTGGTTATCTAGACATTTCTCCATAAAGGACTTAGGGGAAGCATCCTATATCTTGGGGATTAGAATCTATAGAGATAGATCAAAGAGGATGCTTGGCTTGTCCCAGTCTAGGTACATAGAAACCATTGTCAAAAGGTTTGGCATGAAAAATTCCAAGAGAGGTCTCATACCGATGAGACATGGGATATCGCTTTCTACGAGTATGTCCCCAAAGACTCCAGAAGAAAGGGCGAACATGGATATGATACCTTATGCCTTAGCAATAAGGTCTATCATGTATGCTATGCTATGTACTAGGCCTGATATAGCGCATGCTCTGAGTGTCACGAGCATGTATCAGGCGGATCCAAGCTTGAAGCACTGGAAAGCAGTAAAGTGCATCCTTAAGTACTTGAGAAGGACTAAGGATCTTTTACTAGTATATGGAGGTAGTAGCTTTAAGTTTGAAGGCTACATAGACTCAAGTTTTCAATCTGATGTCGATGATAGCAAGGTGAATTTAGGGTATGTGTACACCTTGAATAGAGGAGCAGTGTGCTGGAAGAGTTCCAACAAGATACTACTGCTGACTCGACCATAGAGGTGGAGTACATTGCTGCATCAGATGCAGCAAAAGAGGGAGTCTGGGTGAAGAAGTTCATCATAGATTTGGGAGTCGTGTCGAGTAGTGAGGAGCTGACTTCCTTATATTGTGACAACTATGGGGCGATTACTCAAATAAGGGAACCCATGTCTCATCAGAAGTGTTCTGAGGAGGTTCCAGCTTATCAAAGAGATCGTAACCCGAGGAGATGTAGTAGTGGAAAGAGTTCTATCCGAAGATAACATTGTAGATCCACTGACAAAGCCGTTGTCTCAGATTGTCTTTGAGCATCACAGGGGTCTGATGGGGATCAGACACATAGGTGATTGACTTTAGGTCAAGTGGGAGATTGCTAGTCATAGGTGCCCAACAAGCCAATCACGTGAGTGATGACACGTGTGACTTGATACAGAATCTTTTTGTTTATTATATTTTGGCGTATATCACTTTATAACTATTGCATATATGCATATATATATTGTGATGTCCTTGAATTTGTGCAATGGGAATCGGATCATGATGAGATCATGATAATGAGATCGATTCACCTTTAAACACATATCCTAAATAATCCCGGTCATAGGTTACTCGAGAGGGACATCGTGATAACCAGACAAACTTGTGTACTGTATATCCGTCCATATGATGAATGCAGTTAGTCTAATAACTGCTCATGTATGGACACTAGGGATACAATACAAGTGCTCATTAGAGAATGAGTTCACTGATTGATCCGCTTACGAAATGCTGGATGGTTGAGGATGCCTTATTGTCAGACAGCGATTTCGTAGTCCTAGTGGTGTATCTGGTCCTTAGACTTTAGACACCAAGAATGTCCTATATGAGTGCTCAACTCTTTGATACCAGACTTATAGGTTTGATTGTCCCAGATCTAGTACAACTGGTCATTGGGAGTGGTAGTCGACCTTACGAGGGCTATTGAGTGTCGATAGAGGATCATCCACTCTCGGCGTCATGAGAGGAATATCTCATGTGTTCTTGCTCAGACAAATCCCTGGCCAAGGTCATTCGGGTTGAGAGAAAAAGAGTTCTCCGGGAGAATCCGATTAGAGCGAGACTCGAGTAGAAACCGTATGAGTCTGACAACACCATGCTCGATATACGGTCTTTGGGATATTAGATGAATGAGGGACTATAGGTACATGGTAACTGAGGACAGACAGGTCCAATGGATTAGATTCTCCTGTATCGTCTCGGGTCTACGGTGTAGTGGCCTAGTACGTCCATAGTCGATGAGTCAAGTGAATTATTACAGTGATAATAATTCACTGAGTTAGAAGGAGTTCTAACAAGTATGACTCACGACCAGCTCGATATTGGGCCTAGAGAGTCACACACATATGGTAGACATTGCGATGAGTAGAGGTTCGAATATGAGATATCCGACGGAGCCTTTGTCTTATTGGATGCATATCAAATACCCATTAGGGGAGGAACCCTTAGGGTTTGACAAGGGACCTCTATAAATAGGAGGGATTTAGAGCCTTATAGGCTAGAGTCTTTGCTTGCCTCTCTTATTCTCTTCCCCTTCTCCACCTCAGAGCAAGCTTGGAGTTTTGAGGAGCGTCGTCGCAGCCCTGCTGTGTGGATCACCGCTAGAGAGGAGGACGCTTGACCTCCTTCACCTCTCCTAAGGATCTGCAAGGAAATAGGGATATACGATCTCCCTAGGTAACACAATCTACTCTATATGCAGTTTTAAGTTTCATGGATTTTGCGCACCAATCTTCGCACGATGACGAACATCTCTTTGGGAATCGAGGATTTTGTTTTCTTGTTCTTCCGCTGCGCATGTGATGTCGCCCCCAAGATTTCCCAACAGTTGCAACTTCAAAATTCATATAGATAATAATAAAGCAAATATGTTGATAAAGACCTTACCTAAAGAAAGGTAGGAGATATGTCGACAGTTGGTTAGCGTAGTTTTATATTAAGGAGTCAAACCTCCTTTATGGGCTGAAGGGGAAGGTTGTTGGGTTAACAACCCATGAGTTCAGCCCATAGTGGGCTTTAACAACCTATAGCCCACCTCTCTTTAACCTAAAAATCCTAACCCTTTTAACAAAAGAGGGTGGCGGCTACGGAAAAAAAAAGAGGGGTGCAGTGGCTGTGAATAGGGCCAGAATACTATAACTACGTGATTCTAAAAGTGAGGAGGAAAGAACAAAAAAATAAGAGAAGGAAAGGGAAAAAGACAAGGACAACGGAGAGAGACTATTTTCAATCATTTAGGAAGTGATGTAATTACTTGGATATTGTGCACAGTGATGTAATCCTTATATCATAGTTATTCTCTTATGATTGTTGTTTGGGTTTTGGGTAAGAGACTTTGAGATTTGTACATTCATTATTATAGTGAATTTTCTTTGTCTTATCCTGTGGTTTTACGCTTTACGTTAGAGGGATTTTTTCACATAAATCTTGGTATTCTACTTAATTATGATTTTTATTTAATTTCATTATATGTTACGACATGTTAGTATTTGTTCGTATACAAAAGTTTCTACATGAAAGCTTGTGACAAGTTTTGATAAGGATCAAGATTAACTCTAATCCTCGATAACTTACAAATAGAATTTTTCGTAACAAGTGTATAAATATTTTTTTAATATAACCTCATTTGATAAATTTTAGTGTTGTGTAAGATTCATTTAGCAATGGTTGAAAACTCATAATCTTATCAGATCATTTTTTAAATATATAAAATATTAATTTGATGGTAATATATCATATGCAATTATCAAACATTGAGAATTCAAAATCTTATCTTATAAATTTTTATATCTAATGTATTATACTAGTTCTACCTATCAACGATGGGGGGATTCCAAGCCTCATCCAAATAGTAAGATTCAAGGAGTAAATCTCGTTTTTATTATTTATCTTTATAAAAAATAAAAAAATTTCTCGAGAAAATAAGTGAAGATATTATCACTGCTGAGAAATATGTCCTGAGGTAAAATAATAATAATAATAATAATACACTTGGTACAAAAGAAACTAAGATTTAATTAATATTATGGACTCAATTTTCTTTTGCTTTAACTGAGGTCACCCCCAATTATTGATATGTTTTGACCACTTTGTCTCGTTTGCCTGAATCCCCCTTGCTAACCTCTGTTGACGCAGTCGCTTCCTTCGTGCAAGCTGCCGTAGATATTTGAGGGACGAGAGGTGGAATTTCTTCCGAAAGGGGCTTCAATCCCACACGCAGTTCTCTTCCTCCGTTCTGATGCTAAAGAAACCTATTCTTTAGTCTCACAATTCTACCACGGACTCTCTCTTTCTCCGTTTTGACCTCTTTTCCTCTTGGTTCCTCTTAGATCTCCTTCACTCTTCCCGCATTGGTCTGTGTTTCCTCATCTATCCGATCCATTCTCTTCTAAGGCCCTCTGCTAAAAAAAGATGCTGAAGTGTGTGTCATGCTGAATGTTTTCAACCGATTCACTTTTTCTCTAATTGTTTCCGTTTAATTCTGCCCAAAGTTTGGATATTTCCTTCAACTTTAGGCGATTTCACGTGTAAAAAGTCTCTCCTTTTGAGCAATTTGTTTGATCTCAAACGAGATGGGTGGTCTGCTCAGCAAGAGGCCCAGCATGCGCCCGGTTCGCCGTGTTAGCGGCGGCGGAAGCGGCTGTGGCAGCAGTATCGGGGGCGGCCACCAGGTAAACGGCACCGATGGTAGCAGTACCAGTGGGGACACCGGCGCCGGTCAGAGTGGTATTCAGTACACGGCGGAGCTGACGTCCTACGAGGCGGCGTGCCGCCTTGACCCGGAGCTTCGGTCCTTCGATGCCACTCTCCAGCAGCGCACGAGCCACGCCATCTCCACTCTCGCCCTTGGTGTCGAGCTCCGCTGCCTCTCCTTCGACACTCTTAGGGAGGTGACCGGCTGCCTTCTCGAGACGAACAAAGAAGTGGTGAAAGCTATCCTGGAGTGCAGGAAGGATATCTGGAAGAGTCCCGAACTCCTCAGCCTCGTCGACGACTACTTTGAGTGCAGCATCCAAACCCTCGACTACTGTACTGAACTCGAGAAATGCCTCAAGAAAGCTCGCGATAGCCATTTGATCATCCAATTTGCTATCCAACGCTTTGAGGAGGAGGACAAGGAGAAGAATGAGGTGGTGACCGAAGAAGATGGCAAGACGAGGTATACAATGACTTTAGAGAAATTGAGACATTTTAAGGCTGCTGGTAGTCCATTCACCGAAGAGTTTGCTCGGGTGTTGAAATCTGTTTATGAGCATCAGAAGTTGATGCTTGAGAAACTGCTATTAAGAAAGAAGAAGCTTGACGACAAGATGAAATCCATCAACACATGGAGGAGAGTGTCAAATATAACTTTTGTGGCTGCTCTCGTGGCTGTCATCATATGCTCTGTTGTTGCAGCTTCTATAGCGGCACCTCCTGTTGCTGCTGCCTTGGCTGCTGCCACTGCAATTCCCATTGGTTCAATGGGAAAGTGGGTCAACTCACTGTTAAAGAACTGCCAGAATGCTTTTGGAAGAGAGACGGAGCTTCTTACCTCGATGCAATTTGGGACCTTCATTGCTCTAAAAGATTTGGATACCATAAGGGTGCTGGTTGATAAGTTGGAAATTCATTTCAATTCCCTGCTTGAAAATGCAGATTTTGCCTTTAGGGATGAGGAGGCAGTGAAGTTTGCAATCGAGGAGATTAAGAAGAATCTGGAAGTGTTTATGAAGAACATTGAGGACTTGGGAGTGCAAGTTGATCGGTGCAGCAGGGATACCAGTAAAGCAAGGATGGTTGTAGTACGGACGATCATAAAGCACCCAGGGGAGTAGAAAAGGTTGTCTGGTAAGACATAATAACTGCTTTGAATCTTCTTCAGTCATTTCTCTGGCCAGTTTAATTACTTGTAAAAGCTCTATATCTTCCTTAATTGTTACATCGACAGCAATAACATGCAAGTACTCTCTCCAGTGTCAAGATTTTTCTAATTTACTTCATTGGCATCAGCATGAGTATAAACTTCAGATGACAATATACTTGAATAATTGGATATATAAGCATCAGCTTTTATGCACAATGTAGTTGTGAAAGGCATTATCGCAATTGCATAGGCATCTGTTGTATCGTAATTTATAATTCAATAATTGATGATCCTTTGCCTTCTATTTATAGGAGACCCCAAGGAAACTTTTGTTATTCACATCCAGGGTCCTCTCTTTGGTAAATTATATATCTAAACCAATGACTGACATGAACCAGAACAAGGTATCTAACTCAGATAAAATTTGATAATCTCAGTATCCAAAACTTCTGAGATATAGAAACATAGGTCCATGGAAATATGTTTGTCTAATCAACAGTCCCTTTACCCAATTATTCTTCGTATATGACTAAAATCCTTGATGTTCAAGAAGAATTTAATTAAAATAGCATATATAATATGGACCTTTATTCAGTATGATATTCCTACATATCTACAACTGTATCCATGATCATGACAATACTCAATAGTGGGACCTAAAACAGTATTGTTTTATGATTGCAATTATCTGTTATTATAGATATCTGGCTCTAGACAAATAGAATGGTAATAGATTCTACAATGAAGGTGAAAAAGAATTCTTCTATCATTATTTGCTACATGTACACCAATGAGATTCCTCAAGTTCACTCTAAATTGCATTTTTGTTTCATGCAATGGGGTTTTAAGTGCAATCATGTCATTGATATATCTGACTTTGGTGTTAAAAGGTGTAATGCTCTCTTTCAACTCCTCATTTAGAAAGCACCTATTTTGATAAAACTGTTGTTTCAAGACCTAGTTGGATCAAATTTGTTTAGTCATGATCTGCTGCTAGAGAAACCATACAATTTGGGTGATACTTAAACTTGCCTTTGAAAAAATTTGTTGCAATTAATTAAAATCGTGAATTGAGTGAAGTTGGCTACTTCTCATGGGTCAAATAGTTTGAAATCGACCAGAATAATTTGTTTTTTGGATTCCAGATATCTTTTTCCACTTTATTTATCGTTACTGCGAATTTGCAGTCCGCCCTTCACTGACAGTAATGTATCTATCTATCATGAATCAACTTGTGGTTGTACTGTTGTTGACCCATGGCCTGGACATATAAAGAGGTCATATTCAGGTCGGGTTTCGGGACAAATGAAACTTACCTGCACAAGTCTTTTTATCTACCAGACTTTGCTTTGCTCTTAATTCTCTTGAATTTTTTTGTTTAATATGACACATTTTCAGTCGTTCCTGTTAGGATTGAAGTTTGCAGAAATAATAATAAAATAATTGATGTTTCTTTTCTGGATTATAATGGTGGGAAAAAGTCCATGTTGCCAGCCTATGGACACCAATCTGTCTATGTTAGTTTGCTATTCTATGATATAACTGGTAATAAACTTCTAACCCATGTAATCTTGATTTTGTAATGTAGTAAACTGTAATGCTTGATGGGATGGTAAAATAAACAAGTAGATGTATTTGTACTGATCTCTCATTGTCACTGTACTGGCATGGGAAGGCTTTGGTTCATGCCGTCTGTGATGGTGCATACATTATTATTACTACTTCACTGTGTGAATCAGACGTTAACAATTCATTATTGATAATAATAACTGGTGGTGGTTCAATTGACATAAGCAGGGTTTGTTATCCAAAGAATTTGTAAAGAATACATGTATGTACTGAAATGTGCATTCATTTTTCTATAAAACACCATAATATGAGCATACATATATATGTAGAAGTTATACATTAATAAATATAAAATATCATGGTTCAAAAATCCAGTTATTGGACCATCCCAGTCCCTAGCCAAATTGGTACAGGACCGGTATGTACCAGCATAATAACACATGTAAGCCTTGTAAGCCAGTATATCAGTCGGCACCGACAAGGGTGGAGGAGGAGAGGAGTCCAGTAACAGGATGATGAAAAAGGAGTACCGTCGGATAGCGAGCAGCTGGCTGCAGTGACTTGAGGCAGCGGTGGCGACAAGCAGGCAATGGAAGCAAACAGTGCATGGCAGCAAAGGGGAGAGAGTGAGAGCATAATTTGCAGCACAGAGAATAAATGAGAATGATATATATATATATATATATATATATATATATATATATAATCAAAAGACAATGCTCCAACTGTCAAGTTCAAAACAAAAAAAAAGAAACCGAATAGTGCGAAAAGTCTTGGATCACGTGCTGGTTCAGCCACCTCCCACGACATACTAGTTCAGATGAAATTTAAATCCTATAAAGCATATATAAATTGCAAGGAAGATATTCTCTGTTGTAATATGGGAAAACCTCACGAAATTCTTGACGGAAATGTGCCTTAGTGGGAGATACAAGTCAACACAGATAAGTGTAGTTTAGTGTCACAAATGGTAGCAGTGACTAAAAGCTGTTTAAAATAGAACAATTTTTTGTTATACATAGATATATAGACACAGTTTTAGTTTGTCCAATGAAAGTTATAAAAGGAGATATTCTAGATCAAGCTGGTTGCCCCAAGTTCAGCCTTGCAATAATTTCATTACCATAGCCACAAACTTGCTTGCAACCTAATGATTTTAACCGGAGTTGGAGACCCAAAAATCTATGTCCATTATAGTGTAAAACATGCACAAAGCTAAACAATGACAAACATGAGAAAAAACTAAAAGAAGATACCAAGGACTAATATCTCAACCATACTAGTTAGTATGGACGAAGTCTTACTGGTCTGATGGTTGACCAACAAGTGGACTTGGTAACTTCATCCGCTTCGATCCAAAATTGAGCTTATTGCCTGGTAAACTTTTCTTATTGGGTTACTTGACAGTAAGCTGACTGGGAGAGTTGCGCCACTTGGTACTGATTCCCTGTTTTGATTTGTTCTGATTTGTCTTTCTTCTTCTTCTTCTTCTTTTTCTCTTTCTCCTTATCTACTTAGTCGTATTGAATCTAACAACTAACTTCGATTAGAAAAAGTAAAATGATTAAAACAAGAAGAATCAATCAAATATTAAACCAAAATTAGAAATCGAGCATCGGATCGGAGAATCATACATTGCATTAAGATCGAGTATTGCAGGAGTCAACATGTTGAAGGATCAACCAATACGCCAAAGGTTCGAACAACGTACCAGAAGTTTGTCGGGAGTTTGGATGAACCAACGATATGTCAGACAACCTAGTTTTCTTTTCTTATAATTGTTTAGGTCTTAATTGTCGTAGTTAGATCGTAAATTAAATTAGTTTTGGGTGAAACCCTACTAACTCAATTAGGGGTCCATTAGGTCTAATCTAAGGTTAAGATAGACTTATTGGCTCACTCAGCAACCCAAAGTTAGGTCAGGCGGTGGAACCACCTATGAGTTGAAAAAGTGAAGTACACTTTTTCTAGGTTGTTTGGTGATAGTACCACCTAGACTGGGTAGTGGTATTGCCAGCAGTTAATGCTATCATGTGGTAGACCACTTAGGCAGGTGATGGTACTACTAGAGCTTGGTCTCTCAAGCTTTGTCAAGTGGTAATATCGCCAGTTGTCAGGGGAGCATGTGGTGGTACCGCCCAATACTGGTAGTGGTACCGTTAATACCTCAAAAACTTGGGATGTGATATTTTTTGACCCTATTTTTGAAGTGAATTGGGGCCTATAAATACCTCACTCTTTATTGCTTGAAAAAGCATTAAAAAGTGAATAAAAACCTATGACTCTAAGTGAGAAAACTCTATTATACTCTTTTGAGAGTTGCCCCCCTTTTCTTTAAAAGCTTAGAATTTTGTCTAAGGGAGATGTAAGACTTGTAAAGGTTCTCTCCTAAACCTATGAAAAGGACAAAGAATTATAAGAGGATAGTTGATATTCGTCCATTAAAAAAAGATTGTTAGTGAACGCTAGTAGCCTCGACGAAAGAGAAATCGGGAGTGGACATAGGTCGTGATGATCAAACCACTATAAATCTGGTGTGCTCTTTTCCTTTGTTATTTACCTTTATTGCTTATTGATTTTATTGCTCACTCCACTTTACATTTACTCTAAGTCAAGCTCACTTTCGATATTAGTTTTCATCGAATATAATTTTTCAGTATCTTTAAAAGTTTTCGATAGCACTCATTCATGCCGCCCCCTTTCTTGGTGTCATTTACGATCCTAATAGTTGGTATTAGAGTCACGTTACTCTCAGTTGTTTTAACACCCAAAAGAGTTTAAATGGCTTTTGCTAGCAATCTAGAGAGTCATTCTATCACTCATCCTCCTAAGTTCAATGGGATGGACTACAAGTATTGGAAAACTCATATGAGGATTTTTCTGATTTCTATGAATTTTGATTTATGGAACATTGTCGAATACAGCTATCAAAAATCCTTTAGACCAATGAATGAGTGGAATGATCTAGAGAAAAAATTATTTTCTTTTAATGCGAAAGCTATGAATATTTTATTTTATGCTTTAGACAAAAATAAGTTTAATTATGTTTCTATATGTGAAACAACATATGACATTTGACATATATTCGAAGTCACACATGCAGACATAAGTAGAGTTAAAGAGTCTAAAATCAATCTTTCGATACATAATTTTGAATTGTTTCGAATGAAACCAAGCAAAACCATAGGAGACATGTACACCCGTTTTACGAATGTCATCAAAGGTTTGAAAGCTCTTGGTAAAAAAATTTCTAATCTTAAACTTGTTAATAAAATTCTAAGATCTCTTCCAAAAAATTGGGATCCAAAAGTAATTACTATTTAAGAAGCAAAGGACTTAAATTATTTTCCACTTGAAGAACTCATAGGGTCATTAATGACCTATGAAATGACATGCAAGACACATGATAAATATGAGAATAACCTTTTAAAAAATAGGAAGGATATGACATTTAGAACTAAAGAAGACAACTCGAGCAAAAGCTCAAGTGATGATGAGGACTTGGCACTTCTAACAAAAAAAATTAAAAAATTTATAAGAAGAAACAAAACAAAACAAAGATACTAAGAATAAAAA